AGTAATAAATTATTAGAGATTTCAATCTTACTGTTTCTCCATTTATTATGATTTGAAATTGTTGGAACTAGTATTAACAAATTTTTCAGAACGTTAACTCTTCTTTTATTCCAACCATTTTAATGCAATGTAAATAATTATATGTGTATTTAGTAGTAAGCACAGCAGTTGGGGTATATTTTAAATTATGGGCTCAGGTAACATCCTAATACCAGTGATTATATTCAAAAGTATCGTTTTCACCATAATTAATGCAATTTGCACTTGTTTTGCCCCATACTGATGCTTTGCTCAGAACTGATAAACAACTTAAATAATCATTCCTTTTCGGACTTTCCCATTCGAAATTTCTTCAAAATATCTTGCTCTATGCTCATAACCATAAACCGCCAAATTGTAGGGCGCAATTTCAACTTGAAAACACATTTGCCTCTTCACTTAGTCACATAATTATACTTACAGCCATTTGCACGGCAGCAGATGCTCTCAACATGTGTGTTTAACCACGTAAGCAGCCATAATTTTGATAATTTTAGTACGTAGAACAGCCGAAAACAACAACAACACAATGCAAGTAACGCACAACCAACACGATGCTAACGGCAATAGTGTCAACATTCAAATAACCTTACAAGTGTCTTAGTGTGCTTAAGTAGCAAAAGCCACAACCACAAGGATGCTTACAAGTATAAGCGCAGAAGGGGGGGGAACACAGCAGTACATTTGCTATCATATAAGCTCTTGAATCTCAAAGACGAGTTATATAAGTAACAACTGTAATTGCTTTTGATGGTGGTTAAAATTAAAAAATAAAATTTTTTTAATTATTTTAACTACTCTTAAGCTTATTAAAACGGCTATATATCATATGTATACATATTGCATCTATTAAAAACACTTGCTCATATGCTGATAAATTCATTTATATAATTTCAAATATATACAATTGTCAGTTCCAAGTTTATTTAAACATGTAAAAGGCGCCTAGGCGTATACGTAATTAGTAATTGACACGTTGGAAGAAATGAAATTGGTACTGTTACTGTTATAAAATAACATTAAAATGTATTAAAGAAATTAAGTTGAAAAAGATTAGTAAATATCAAATATGTTGCTGCAAAATTATCATCAAATTTACATAAATAAAATGATTTTAAGGATACAAATTCTTGCAACACAAAACCGTTCACTAACTCTTTTGACTTATCCGCATCTTCCCAAACGGACAATTTTTTTCGCAAAGCTGCAACTGAAACTACGCAACCCCCGACGTATATTCATATGATCGCAGGCAATCGGAGATGTATAGCCCCTACAAAGTTAGAACATAGAGACCGTTACTCTTAATATTCATACGTCCATTCATCATTTTGCATTGCCGCTTGCAAACATGCCACAAATAAGACACAAGTCAAGTCGAATGTGGTAAGTGAAGTGACAGTAATGAAAAAGAAAACATGAAAAGCAGCCGTCTTTGTTTTTACACAAAGTTCTCTGTTGTCTAGAAGCGCATGAGTTGCTGGTCATCCGTAGGGCAGTTGAACAGCAGAGTATGAGAATTTTTGCGTTTCAAGTTGCATAGAGTAGAAGTTTTATTCACTTAACGGTTGCTTGTAGCATCTAAAACTAATCGATATAAAACAGCTCAAAATGTTCAAGTTGAAAGCGCGAATTGATTTCCGGATAACTCTACGTCACTTCAAGCCATACCTCGAGTGACAAATTATGATAACTTAATAAATCTCAAATATTCAAAATAAAAATCGATAAAATCTTTACTAAGCAAAAGCAAAAAGGAATTCACAACAGGACGAAATTAAAACAGCAAATAAAGCATGTATTTTAAGTAACATAATGGAACACGCCATCAAAGGTATACAAGGAAAGGTATACACGGCATTTTGAAAAGCCTTCTTGTAGAGATATGCGTGATTCGTTACACTTTGAAAATATAAGAAAAATATATAAAAATAAAAAAACAAATATTTCTTGACTAGAACAACCTTTTATTAGCAAGGAAAATCCTTATTTATCACCACAAAATCCTGTAAAGAAATGACTACACTACCTCGTTTTAGACTCAGTAATTTTATAGCGCAGTGCTGGCAAGAAATTTTATGAAAAGTAATTTTAGATTTCCGCAATCATAAAGCTCTACTATCCTCACGAAAATAAATGAAAAATTTTAAAAATGAGTTTACAACTTAAATTCTAATGGAAATGCAAAATTGCTTTCAAACACAGTAAGTTGCGCATACGCAGTGGTATACCAAATTCAACTTAGCCCTGTAACCTTATCAGTTTCAAACAGTGCGCATTTTAAGTGCGCCATATTATTGTTGCCAAAAAATTAGCTATAGACTGATTAGCATAGTTTTGACCACGACGTCGGTGATCCATTTCAGTTTCCAAAATTCGTAAATGTTTAAGTAGCGATAGGCGGCTGTGATGCTCCTTGAAATCAAACCAGCTCAGTCATATCCATTGAATTGTCAAGACCACACAACAGTTTTACTGAACTGTCTGCGACAGAACTCAAATAATTTTGGTTAGGAAATGCACAAGCTTTACAGACTCAGTAGACAGAACCGAAACTTGCGTACCAAGGGAACCTCAAATAGAATAATTCAGACAGTTCAGTTCAGCCTGTCTTTTACCTAACTTTTGAGACAAATTTAGATAACGTTGAGTTATTTTCGTAAAAATTTTTTAATATGAAGTTTAAATTCAGACAAAATTTTTTCAGAATTCTGTGTAAAACCTTATTTTTAAAGAGTCTACATTACGGTATAGAAGAAAATAGCTTTGGTAACTAGTGAATTATTGGATAATCACATACTCAAAACTTTTAGAGCTGTATAATCTTAAGAAAGTGTACCAAAATCTCACATACAAGTAGACAGAGCGCAGATAAAAATTATTTTTAGTTTTACTCGCACAGATTGGTCAAACAGGCAAACAAAACAGCTTCAACACTCATTATGCTCCATAAGCGCCTTAAAAGCTTTCTGAATTAATGCAGAATGTAAAGCAAAAGCCTGAATTGCTTTCTGAGCAGAAAGGAGTGCACATGAAATAGGAGGAAACACTAACAACAGTATCGTTGCACATATACGTTGCATGCTTCTAATATACTGCAGGTCATAAATTATTCAGAGAAGATGCAAAACCAAACAGCCTGTAGCTTCTAGCGGTGTTTACACTGATGGTTATAGTGCCATGAATGACGCCAAAACACAACACTTTTAGACATCCACGGAACTGGCTGTATCCCAAAAGCGCCTTGTGAAAGCTCTCAAATTGCATACAACTGGAGGGGAAAAAGAAAACATGGGAAAGCACTGCACTAGCTGTAGATAGAAAAACATCAATAGATTCTTATGTAAAATTCTCGACCACGCTGTAAAGCTCTTTTCACTCAAAAATATTGCATTATTTCGGTCATGTAATGTAAGTGCAGTGAAACTTGGTCTCTTGGAATCTGAATTTAGGAAATCAGATTTAAGAAAAATTTAATTTAGAGTATAATAGAGTATTATAACTGGTCAGCTTAAATGAAAAAAAGAATTCTATCAGTATGTTTAAGTTATTGAAAATACTCTTGGTGACTGCTGCAAAAAGCTAATATAATATTTTCATTCAAAATTCGTATTTTAGACAAATTCTTCAGGCGTCTTTTCATTGCTTCATATATTTATGTGGGCTCTTACACAATATTACTTTCTTCTAAGTCTCACTTGGGCTTTTCTTCCTTTGCTGATACTCGTACACTTGACCTAACTTACATTCACTTCCACTCTGTGTGCTCATTGTCAAGTTCTAATATACCAAAAAAACACCAAAAAACAGAAACAGTTTTGACCAAATTTGAGTGTTTTATTTCATTTTAATATCACGTCATTCTTGTTGGTACACCCTTTATTTAAAGTTTTCACATACTCACAATAACTTTAACAATTCACTCTTTCATTTATCATCTGGCAGTTCTGGCCCCTTGTAGTTTAACACATCCAAACACAACCCTAATCAAAGTCTAATGTATCAAATGGAGCAAGAACGCTAAAATAACAAAACAGAAGACTGTGTTTGCAATCAAAGCTGAGTTGTAGAGGAGCTGGACAATAATGGCAGGGCTACAGAGTAACAAAATGTCATTTGCACGCTTTCCCTTATTTCACCGCAAAAACTAAAATGCTCATGCAAAAACATTCGAATGTGCTATATAGCTGTACTGTTAGCTAATGTGCGAGTGAGGATACTTCACTCCTTTGCAGCTAGAAAATATACAAATGCCGGCAATAAAGTCAAACTGGAAGTGCCATCAAACAACGTTCTCAAATACCTATTTTAATATCGTGAGGTTAACAGCTTTAATGAAAACAAAAGTTGCTCATAGCAAAAAAACTAGACGTGCTAGATAAATTCCACATATACATTGTTTTGCTCAATTTTTGATGCCGACCAGCGTTATTTGACATTTTGAACGTCACCATCAAAGGGAATAAATTGCGTACTACACAAATAGACAAACGGTGTGTATATGTGAACCTAAAAGGGTCATCACTTTTTAAGCCGTAAATAGTAATGCAATGCTGGCTGCGTGTTGGTGACATTCGTCAAATCTGGTGTGGTAAAATGAAATTTTTGGTGGATTGTGTAGGGAAGCGGTTAAATATTTATAATATAGTTACAGTTAATAACATTGGTATAATTGCGACTTTTGTTAATGTTGTAATCCGTGATCAGAAACACAATTTCGACAAAATTAAATGAAAATGTGCGCTCTCTATATATTATTATTTGTTATTTCTGAAATAATTCGTGAAATAGTTTTTTTTCCCATTAATTTTTAAACAAACCAAACGATCATATTCATATTAATATCACTGAAAACTGTAAATTTAATGTTTTGCGCAAACTTCAAAAGTTCACCACAAAAATTTGCCTCGTTTTAATCTCACCTGGAGTTCTATTTTCCGTTTTGATAAAAGAGAGTAAACTTTTACTTATTGCACTTTTATTAATATTAAGATTTGAGTTACATGTCGGCATAAGATATAATTATGTGGTGTCTGTTTTCTTCCTTATATGCAAGTGCTGGAAATCCACCGCAAAATGGTACGAATTGTTCGCTAACAACAAAGCCTCTTGCTGGTATTCACTGAAGTGGACTGGAAAGTAGTAAAATTGCGAAAAATCAGTTCATAATCTTCATTAAAGATACAACTCACTCATCTTGATCTCATTTGAGCTTTTGAAGTCTTTTGGTCATCACAAGGCACGCGTAGAAAGCACAAAGCTAAATTAAGGAGTTACCCTGGTCTCCAATCGAGGAAGATTCTGATCGTCTGCCTGCGGAGTTATTAAAAGTGAGAAAAGGTAAGTAAGTTTAAGGAGAATGGAATAACAAGATTTTATCTGGTTAGTTATATAAAAATTAAGTAATGCTTTGTTTGCCAAAATGCTTCAGTTTAAATTAAGATAGTTTAGTTTAATTCAATAGAAGAAAAAATATCAACAAAAAAAACAATTCCAGTGACATTCATCTAAATTCAAAGCAAATGTAGGCGACGTTATGAAGGTCAACACAATTCTAATGCAATTCTGAAGTTTCAGAACTTATCTGATGGTATATATGTAGATGTATGAATGTATTTAAGTTTGAACACATATATGTATATAAATAATGAGCAGTGAGGTTGTGTGTATGCACATGTATGTAAGTCTGTCTATGGTATAATAACAGAAATGTTTGGTGTTGCTGTTGTTACGTTTATATTTTAATTAGTGTTGTTAGAGTCGTTCACAGATATCAATCATAATTTGCGAAACTTGTTGTGTCTTTGCGTCTTTACTGTCGAGTTCCTTTAATTTATTCTCTACTGACTAGGTGAATTTTAGAAGGGTTTACGTTGAGCATATTGTATTTTTTATGACAAGAGAGTGCGAAGTGTCTTAGCAAATTCACGCTGCCACACGCGCAACATGTTGCCAAAGTCGTAGAAATGCTCGTGTATTCGGCACCTGTTGCTGCTTTTCCTATCACTTAGCTTCGACTGCATGATTCTGAGTGCCAACGCAAATTTTCGAAGCAAACTTTTTATTTTTAATTTATTTGTTTTTATGTTAAAATGGGAGAAAAATATGGGTTATCTGGTTTTTACAGCTTTTCCACGGTGGTTTTCATTATAATTATTTTCTTCTTTCTTATTGAGTCTCAATAGTCACTGCAATGCGTGTTTGAAAACGAATTCAGAGAACTAGATTATTCTCATCAAATATGATTTAGCCAAAATATTACATAAATTTGTTTCAAAAGAGCAATATAATATTAGTGGAACATCAAGCACGTGGAACTTCCTGCAGATAAGGTGAGGTCCCAGTGTCTTCATATGATTGTTTACTTTTGCTATGTGGCTCCACTCATTAACTCTCACTTGCATTCGATGCCATATGGTAGCTGCTGCTGTCATCATGTTGCAGTATTCATCAACTCCCTTGAGGCTTCACCGATGAAACTCAGCGCTTCATTTTCTCGTTCACGCTCCCATTTAGAGATAAAAAAAAAACACTTACTTCATACCCGAGTGAGGCGCGTTTGGATTTTTATAATTTTTGCTTTGTTGTTTCTGCTTTTCTTTGGGTCAAGTTTACTGCGTCCCCTTAGCGTATGTCTGTGAGTTTCGATGTTGTTCTTACATACTGATATGCTGGTGAGCTATTTCCAAGCTCCTCTACTGTCACTTAAATTTCGAAACATTTTGCCATTTACCTCTTGGCCATACCACCAGCATTTATTGCACAATATGTTATTTGTTGTTGTAAGCGCTGTGTTGTTGACATTGATCAGAAGTGATGGCATTTTATGGTGTTCCCATTTGCTGATATCAACGCAAGTTGGTAGCATGGCTTCACAGCTTTCCATTCTTCGTTCTAGTACATCACTTCAAGCTCTTAAATTACATCTAATGTTACATTTATTATAATTTTTTGGCCCCTTCGCTTTGCAAAATTTTCACGATAGGTAAAGCGCGGCAGCATAACTTCAAATTATTTTCGAGGAAATTATATTTTTTCTACTTTTCTGCTCCGACGGCTGTGGCCTCTTAGATTGTTTTTTTTGGTTTGCTGCTCTTAAGCAAATGATAAATTGAAATATGGCAGTTTAATTTAGAAGAAACATGTTTTCAGCGCTCGAGCGCTGACGAGTCCTTACTCGTTAAAAGTTTGAACAGCTGACGATGAACTTTGAGAAATCTTAGTTAGTACTAGTTTCAATAAGAGAGATTACGATTATGCTTATTAAAATATGAAATTTCAAGGTTCGAGGGGTGAGCGTCACTTCTTCCTCACTTTTTACACTTGCAATTAATTATGAAGAAAAACATTTGAGGGGTTGTCTGCGACCTAATGAAAGTGCTTTGAAGGGCGATTGCAGAGTGGACCGTAGCTGGTTGAAAGGAATCTATCTTTAGCCTGCCTAGAAGTCGGATAGCTTCTAATGTAATAGTATATTCTTGAGAAACATTTGAACGCGTCTCTTTATTTGTTCTGACTACAAAATGTAAAAGGGTCTCAGATAGTCAACCTCAGAAATGTAAACTCTTTCGAAACATCAGCTTATCACTTTTTTTTCTCTAAGAAGAAACTACATACCATAAGTATTATGAAACTAATACACTTTGTTCTCTACTAAAGCAGTGCTTATATCCATAGCACAGTTAATAAACGTGAGGGACCTTCAAGTTTGCTCTGGTGCTCACATTGTCGCGTACCAGCATTCTGCATTTGCTCTATAATTCTGACGACTGACAATTTTTTCTCTTGGCTGACAGTTAACTGTCATCGTTGCGTTGTTTGCTCGTTGTTTTGTGAGTAGCCGGATGGTTTGCTAGCAAGGGCGCTGTTGGCCGCAGGACAAACGAAAAAATGTGAACTAATGAAACTAGCTGAAGAGAGTGAGGAGCTGAGAGGGAATTTCGCTGCGTTGTTATGTGTCAAAGTTAAAGTTTTCACATCTGCACACCAACAGCAACAACTGCAACCTGGTCGCCTGCAATATTTTACAGTTGCACCGAGTTTTAGAATTTTGCTTTTATTTATACTCTTGCTGCCGTTGTTGCCATTATTACCGTTGTTTTCATTATTACAGTTGTGCGCTATTTACAGTTAAGATTTTCCAAGGCTGGATACAGTTACAATATGACATTGTGTTGTGAACAGTGGAGACTCCTTGGAATTGCATATAAAATAAAACTTTCACAATTCTTCTCTAATTAAATGCAAATAAGAATACTTGCGGAGAAAGGCTAATTTCAAATACCGACTACGTTAAAATTTAATGAAGAAGTAAAACTCCTGATTTGATAAATATTTTTTTGGTTCAATCCACTCCAAGCGAGGCGCTTTAATTTTAAGTGGGAATTATATTTTTTCTTTGAAGGAAATTTAAATTGCTACGCTCTTTTTTTGGTATGTCGGTCATTGGTTGTTCTTAATTAAAAACATAGTGTTTCTTAGGTTTCATTAATATTATTCTACAAAACTAGTAACTTTTTTTAAATAATTGAGTTACTAGTTAGAGCATTTTCATACAACAACGATTTAAAGGAAACCAGTGATCCAGTGGGGAGCAATAAAACTTACCACAGGGACAGTTGATTAGCTCTCCACAAGCAGCTCCCTCAAAACATAAATCGTTTGAGTGTGTAAGTTTGCCGAGTCCTTTTCTAAACACAAATTTATTTTCGATTAGTGAACATATAAAATTTGACTACTCAGTTGTAATAATTTATTAAATGTTGCATGAGTAATGAAATCATTGAATTATTGTTCAAGGCGTCAGAATCCAAATCAACATTAGTATTATACCAGTACGGCAATAAATTTGAACACATAAAACTGATCTCATACAAATAATACATATGTATGTTATATGTTCATGTTTCTACAATTCAAAACCGTAGAGGAATTTTTAGTAGTAACCACAACAAATACCAATAACAACAACACTCGTTCGCTTTAACTTTGAAAATGTTTGAACAAAGCAGAAAAGCTGCAAATGCTTTGGGGAATGCGCCTGGTTTCAGCTGCCGCTTGCGCCATTTAACAAAACTAGATTTGCAAATTTTCTGTCACAAAATTTCAGTTTCGCTAATTTGACATTTGTTGAATTTAATTGTTCACTTTACACACTATAATTGTATAGAACTATTTTTACTTTTTGCGGCTATTCTAATTGCGTAAAAATTCATGCTATTGTGGTATTTCGTTGTTTTCAGCCATTAAACAAGTTTTAATATACGAGTATATGGAAATTTAATTATTTATGGCTTATATTAAATACAAAAATTTTATAAAATTTTACTTGAAAATAATATAAAATGGAATTTGAGTAGAATGCATGAACCCGTAATTAATCACAGTTTTGCTCATATGTGTTGTTATTTTTCCAATTTTGGCTGCAAAAGCCGCAGAGAAAGCTCAAAAGCTGCGGCGCACAGATAACATAAGCAGAAAAATTGATTTGCTTAAGCGAACCTGCAGTTCGAGATCATTTAAAACATGTTGCATGAAATCACCTAAGCTCAAGCAAAACATTCCTATAAAACATAGTTCAAAGTACCTTGTTGGTGGGACGAATTGTGGTTTATGTGTTATTTCCTCCATAGAAAACCCAGCATCGTAGAAAAGCCAAACATTTTATTGCATTTTACTAAATTGTACACGTGTGCATTGGTGTCATTGACTCACATATAATGAGACTCTCTCTCTCTCTCTCTAGTCTCAGTATTTTCAAATTTATTGTGTTCGTTGATTTGGTAAATGAAATTAGTCAAGTCTCATTGTCGCATTTAAAATTAATTTAGACAAAATATTTGGTGTTGCAAAAAAATAAGAAACATGACAAATTCAGAATATTTAAAATAATTTTGGGTCATACAACATTATTTTTGTGCTTCTTTCAACATGAGTTTGTTTAGGATCGCATTTCTTTAATGACCAAAACCGTTGCCTTTTAATTTAAAACAGTTTGTTGTCGCCCAAAAAATTATTTACCGAGTTGGTGTATATCCTTTCGCACATTAACTTCGTTTCGTTTGTCTTTTAGCATTCAGTAATTAGTCGAAAGGGTTTTAAAAATGTATTGTTCGTTTTTCTTATTTTTTAAGTGTTTTTAAGTTTTTCGGCTTGTTTTGCCTTTCTTTTCGCATAAGGAAATTATGGGATTTCGGTTTGCTGTCTCCTCTTACATCCTTTTCCTTGGAGCTTTTATTATTATTGCTGTTTTTGGAGCGAAAAACTGCCCGGAAGTTGCACGACAAGTTTTTGAACACTTTTTCATTTGTATT